TGCTGGAAGGGTTTAGCCAGCCTGAAAACAGCCCTCAGCCCCTCACCCAGCCTGGCAAGGCACCCCAGTGGGGACCCCCCACCCTAAAGGGGGTGTGGCCAGCCTGAAAACAGCTATCAGCCCCTCGCCCAGGCTGGCCAAACCTCCATGGGGTCCCCACTGGGAGGGGGTGGTTGACTAGCCTGCAAACAGCCATCAGCCCCTCACCCAAGCTGGCCAGGCACCCCAGTGGGGACCCCCACCCTGAAGGGGGTGTGACCAGTCTGCAAACATCCATCAGCCCCTCACCCAGGCTGGCCTGGCACCCCAGTTGGACGCCTTCCCTGATCCGGGACACTCTTCAGGGCAAACCAGCCGGCCCCCACCTGTGCACCAGGCCTCTATCCTATAGGGAAGATGTTCAATGCAGGAGCTGTCCCCTGGTGGTCAGTGCGCTCCCACAGGGGGAGCTCTGCTCAGCCACAAGCCAGAACTGTGGTGATGGCGGGAGCCTCTCCCACCTCCTCAGCACCACTAAGGATGTCCAACTGCAGCTTAGGTCTGCTCCCTGCTGGTAAGTGGACATCCCCCAAGGGTTGCCGGGCTGCCAGAGGAATGTCTGACTGCTAACTTGGGCCCAATCCCCCAGGGAGTGGGCCTAAGCCAGCAGATGGACATCCTCCAAGAGGTCCCAGACTGTGAGAGGGCACAGGCCAGGCTGAGGGACCCCCTCGAGTGCACAAATTTTTGTGCACCAGGCCTCTAGTAGCTAAATATAATTGATCAAGGAAGGATTATTAAAAATATTATTTGAAAGACAAATATGGATGAAATATGTTCACTATATTTAAGAGACAGGGCAGGCAAACTGAGATAAGCTGGTGACAGACTTAAAAGAAAAAGGACAAGGGACTCTAAGGAAAAAAAATCAATAAATTTCATGATGGATTAAATGCAAAATGGAACCAGAGAAGGGGATAAAAAAGAAATGGATGCAAGTTCTGGGTCCTGAATTAGCACATAAAAGTGCTTAGCAGATATGCCTTTCAGAAAAGAAACAATGCTCTCCGATTGTCTCTGTTGTTTGGGGTGAGAAAGTTGTTTTGTTTGTTTCGGGGAATTTTGTTTTGTTCCTCTGTTTTGCTTGATTTATGTAGAGGAGGTTAAGGAAGATCATTTGGCTACATTAATTTTGAAAGTGAATAGCATTCAAATTCAAAAGCCACTTCTTAAAACACTGAAATGCATAAAAGGAAAAGTCATAGCTAGGTGGATATATTTAGTTTGGCCAGGAAATTTAAAGACATGGAAATAAGGAATTTTTTGGAAGACTTGAAAGACATAATTGGAAATAAATGCTGTTCCTTGTGATACTATCCTATGAAACAGGGATGCAGCTGAAATGTGTATTCAGTCATCAGGTATTTGTGGACCACAGTGAGCATGCAGTGAGATAGCACTGGGGATATAAATACCTTTAAGCCAAAGTCTCTGCAGTGGACAGCTTATTGTCTAGTCATGAAGATGGATATAAAGCCAGCCATCATCAGCCAGAATGTCATTTGGACAAAGCAGGGATGTGACTGAATGTGTTATTGAGGCCTATTGCACAAGCCGCAGAATGGCCAGTAGGGTGAGGGGAATATTGACAGACCATAAACAAGTTCACACGGAAACTAGCACAGTAATTTAAGTTGGGAAATAAAAGCTAGAATTAAGGAAGAAGTAGTAGAGATAGCAGTAATTTATTCCAAATTGGACTCTGATGATACTTCAGAATAATTTTAGTAAAGCTTTTTCATCTGAATAATTTTCACCAAGGCATGGATTTGGGTCAAGCAACCTTTGTGACGTCAAGTAAAAACTTATCCAAACTTGGACAAGGCCTGGGGAGAATGCTCAAATCTCAGAAATATGCAAGTTTCACAATATTGAACAGAAAAGCGCCCTCCCCTCCCCATAGGGTAGAGAGAGGTAAGCAAAGATTAAGGGGAAGGTGAGACACCATGGGGAAATGACCAGTAGGAAAAAGTATCCACTGTTGTCAGCCGACTCTCAGGATAAGCAATGGGGCATGTTCCATTTTGTAGTGCTTGTTCAAGCTTTAGGACCAGTGGAATTTAGGGGCTTAAGGCAGCCTGACTATCACTTAGTGGAGACTAAGCATGGAGTAATATAAGTGCAATTGTGTACAGTTGATCAGACACAAATGAATAGATCTGCATATAATTCAAAAACAGGATAGCATAATGGAATTAGCAATGACAGTCTTTAGTTTAATAAAGAGCCTTTTCTTTTTTATCTACAGGCTTGGTGAGAAGTCTTCTTTGCTCTCTCCTCATGACGATTCTTCTTACTCAAAAATCCTTTGACATATCTAGCAACGTATTATCAGCCTGCTTACAATAAATACATCCAACGTGCTTCAGAAAGCATATTTTATCAAACAATTCAAAAAGTAAAGCATTATTTGTATTCTCTCAGGCATTAGGTTGGAATTTTTTTTAAAAAAATCAAACTATAAATAATGTGCCTGGGTACAAATTCCAGCTTTCAAAAAAAACAACAAAAAAGGAAAAGTCAATCAAGTAATGTTACATGAACACATACCTGAGATCAATAGTTGTAACACCGTAATGATCAAGTTGTAACATAGTAGTAATGATATAATGATGTCCTTTGGACTGTTTGATTTTTTTCTATTTGTTCTCTGTGTTAAATGTCATAAAATTAAAAAACACTTCCCATGCATAATAAATTGATCTATGAAGCAAGTGTCGAATATCCGATTGTATTGATTTCCTAGCACTGCCAACACAAAATACCAACACTGGTGGCTAAGAAACAACAGCAGAGCCTTGCTCTCTGTGACAGCTCTAGGAAATAATTTATCTTTGCCTCTTCCTAGTTTCTGGCATTTATTGGCAATCCTGACATTCCCTGGTTTGTAACTGCATCACTGCAGTCTCTGCCTCTGTTGCCTCAAAGCCGTTTTCTCCCTCTTTGTCTCTTCTTATAAAGACAACAGTCACATTAAACTAAGGACACACAAGCTTACTCCTAGATAACCTTGCCTTAACTAATTAAATCTGCAATTACCAATATTTCCAAATAAGATCAATTTCTGAGATATGGTTTTTTGTCTTTGTTGTTTATCCTCACCTGAAGGTATTTTCCCACTGATTTTTAGAGAGAGTAGAAGGGAGAGAGACACACAGAGAGAAACATCAATGTGAGAGAGACACACATCAATTGATCAATTGGTTGCTTCCCACACGCACCCCGAACATGTCCTGGAATTAAACCTGCAAACAGGGAATGTGTACTTGACAGGAATCAAACCCAGGACTCTTCATCCCACTGGCCGAGGCTCTATTCACTGAGCCAAACCTGCTAAGGGTGGGGAGTGAGGGGCGGGGGGGGCGTGAGGATGCGTTAGAAGAGGTCAATGGGGAGAAAAAGAGAACATATGTAGCACTGTCAATAATAATATATTTTAAAAATTAAAAAAGAAAGTGAAAAAAATTCATTGCAGTTTTATGTTCATATATATTTAATTTTTAAGAAATGGATTGTATTAAAATTGGAAAAAAATTTTGAGGTATGGGGAGATGGGACTTCAACATATCTTTGGGGAGGGACACAATTGGACATATAGCACCCATATCTATTTTTATTCTCATTTTTTACAACTATCATATGCCAACACCCATTAAATGTTTCAGACTGTCAATATTTTTAACTAAAAGCTATACAGTATATTTTATAATCTTCTAGGGCAATGATTATGGAAGAAAGCAGGTCATGACATAACTAGATGGCTATTCAAAGGGCAAGAAAATCATCTAGGCAATCTCATTTTATATATTTTAAATATATTTTTATTGATTTCAGAGAGGAAAGGAGAGGGAGCGAGAGAGAGAGAGAGAGAGAAACATTGATGAGAGAGAATCATTGATCAGTTGCCTCCTGCATGCCCCACACTGGGCCTATGTCTTGACCAGGAATCGAACCATGACCTCCTGGTTCATACATCGACACTCAACCACTGAGCCATGCCAGTCCGGCAGCAATCTCATTTTAATTGTGAAATGTTCTGTACTAAAAGAAAATCTAATCCATGAAGCTTACCTAAAATCACTAGAGTACTAAGCAAAATATTGTCTTTAGTCATATTTGAAGGGGAAGCTATTTCACTTTTAGCAGGTAGCTGGAAAGAAAATCTAGGCTATACAGAAGGGAGATTGCAAATAAATGGCTAGTGAGTTGAGAGAGAAACCAAGGGTTTGACAGCCTTAGGATTTCAAATGAAGAGAGAAGTATGATATTTCAAAAAAGAAGGGATGATCAAGTCTACCAAATAGCACTAAGAGGATGTTTAACATGAGCACAGTTTAGCAAGATGAAAGTTGTTATTGACCTTGGAAAGACAAGTGGTTTCAGTAAGGATATGATTTGATGGGAACAAGTTGATGACAGTATGTTTGGTTTGTACTTTTGATCCTAAAGGTTAGGAAAACATTGCGAATGCAGCAAAGAGGGAATAATTACTGGAGATGAATGTTTGTGTAAACTCAAATGGATGGAGTTGAGTGTGCAGTGCAGGGGTTGGTAGAGGAATAATTCATCACAATGAAACAATTACTCCACTGTCAGTGACAATGAATATCAGAGCTTTCTGTAAGTTTTTGGTTCTTGGGCATTACTGCCAAAAATCACATAACCCACCTCTTACTGATTGTGGTATTGGTTCTTGCTGCTCTGATAAGTCAAGTAACAACAAGGGACAGTAATCATATACTGTGCAGTCCACTAATCACATTCGAACTTCAATAAAACCCTTTGAATTGGCTCCTATAGATGTAGAAAATGAAGCACCAGGAAAATCAAGTAACTTTCAAGGCACAACTTAGCTGCTATGTTGCGGAGCTGTGAATCTGATTTTACATTTGAATCTTTTTTTTCTAGGGTAACCACAGAATTTGACATCTGATGCTGGGTACATGGAAGGTGTAAAGCACGGGTGTAATGGTTTAACTGGGATTACAGATGTAAATGAAGTCTTTTTAGATCTAACAGCATACGATTACCTTTTCCCTCTACTTTTTGATATCTTTTAATATTCAATTCACAGCATTCCATTTGATTTTAATCTTTCATGGCTATTTTTAATGATAGTAATAATCTAAAGTTAATATTAAAGAAAACAATTAAGATTGAAAGATTATAATAAAGACAGGAAAAATTAATATGCATAAAGGATTAATTTATTGAAATGACTGTTTAGGAAATAGTAATAATAAGTACAATTCCAGAAAATATTGGAATACATATTATTGATAGGGTTATGGTATTTCCAACTCAAAACTGAAACTTTTGGTACACTTTTAATTAAAATATGGAAAAGAGAGGTTATGAGTCCAGTTCAAATTAAGATAAATGTTATATAATACAGAAAATAAAAAACAAATACATTTTTTCATGTAGAATAATTTACACATTATTACTTTTTTTGATTGCATGATACAAAGATTGAAAAGATGCCACATTTCCAGTTGCAGTCAATTCTATGGAATAGAAAACAAACATACAAAGAATTAGTTATGTTTTATGATATAACCATACATCTCTCTCCATTTATAATTTTGGGATAACTAATTCTTTAGAGGAACTTTATTACCAATGTACCATGTTGTGCTCTATCTTGCATATAAGTCTCCTAAGACCAAGTAGCATCTCACTTGGAATTTTTTTAGTGAACTATCTACTGTAACATAATAAGTAAAAAATTGGTATCTTAATAATCTCAAAGTTATATTCTCTCCTCTTTTTAAACCTCAGAGTGAGACTAAATAAGTTTATTTTGACCCATGAGTTAAAAGATAATATGTAAATTTTAAATATGATTTAAAAAATCATTAAATTTTAAGAAGCCTAAGATAGAAATGAGAATTCAAGTTGATCTTTTTAAAAGCTCATAAATATTTACATAAATACAGAAGAAGCTGTTTTCAGTTTTCTCTAAAATTATGATAATCAAGCATAAGGTCATAGGCACCTAAAAACAAACCATTCAAATCTGTCATAACACAACTATCATTAATGAAATAAAAGATACACAAATCCAGGAGAGTACATAATAGTCAACCATGTTGATGTCTCTGACACACTGATAATTAATAAATAATTTTGTATATTGATGGAGTCTGTCACTATCTTGGTCTTATTCACAACAATGTAATATAAGAATGTATTAACTGTAAGAATAATCAATCTAATCTCCATTTCCCCAAGCTTACCAAAAGTGAGACGCAAACATTAATATTGAAATCCTCTTAAACCTTAAAAGAGAGAGAAAGAGAGATAAATATACAACTGAATTTTTGGCAAGAATACTTCTAAAAATTCAATGGTTGTGGGAGTGGATAAAAATGAAAGAGGGTAAGGGCGAATAAACGGTGATGAAAAATTAAATTAAATTAGACACAAAAATTAATAAATAAAAATTTGGTGAGTAATAAAATAAGCATATCAATTGTTTGCCCTCACATGTACAAATATCACAAACAGGATGTGCATTAAAGCATGTAGAGAATAGATGTACACAAGAAAATAATTAAACTCATTTCAACATTCAGATTCCCAAATTGAATTCTGAATTTAGTATATCTTAATCCTCTTTATCTATTTTCTCTAGACATCAAATAAATCAGAATCTTTGAAATAATTTCTTCTAAATACTCAGTATCTTCTACATAGAAAATCAGAAGATTTATTTCTAAACCTTTGTGAGCAGACCTAGGCATTGGGATTTGGGGGAAAACAAGTTTTCTAGGTTATTTTATTTCAAAACTAGTGTTGAGAATCCCTGATGTCAACTACATGCATTAAGAGGTCTATTTAATATTCATTTATTCTTTGACTAGTGGCCCTGCACATGAATCCATGCATGACTAGCTCATGCATGCCTCAGCTGGCCACCCCACCCATGGCCAATTGTAGCTCTCCGCTAGACATACCTTGCTGCCCCACCCTCCTGTAGCTCTCTGCCCTCCTGTAGCTCTCTGCCACACATAGCTCACTGACCTGCCCTCCTGCTGTTCAGTTGTTACATGATGACATCCCAGACCAATTTGCATATTACCCTATTATAAGTATAGATTCTGGATCTCCCACTTCTTCTACAATCATATGTACATCATGAATGAAACAACAGAGTTAATAAAGTAAGACCTACTTGTTGTAAGTTGTAAACTGGGGCAATAGGTTGCGTCGCAGGGTAGAATGCCTGGGTAGGGTCAACCAGATGCTCTGGCTTCAGCACAAGGGACTGGGCAGGCATCACTCTCTGGGGGTAGGTCAGCACTTGCTGGGAAAGAGGCAGGACTTTGGACTGAGGAAGGGAGACCAGGGGCTGAGTGGGAAGCATGGGAGTCTGAAGAAGAGGCTGGGGGATCTGGGGCATCCAGGGCTGCAGCAGAGGCAGAGGAAGCTGTGCTTT